GTCAGCCGAGGCCCATCTCCGTAGATGGCCCAGGCCCAAAAGATTGTTACGTTCCCAGGAAGGGCCGCAGACGAACGGCCCCCGGTTCTACCCGACGATCGTGGTCATCAATTAGGCGGGGAACCCAGATTCTGGCGGGAAGCGCATTTAATGCTGGAGATTTGGTGGTTGGGCCATAGCCACTAACAATCCTCCACATCATCAGGACTAACTGCCCATTGGCGGGTATAAATAGTAGCATTTATTTCATTGTAAAGGGTTGGCAACTTTCTATTATTAGCACTCTAGCTATAGCATTCTGACTGGTAGCACTTCTATTGCCTTGTAAGACGAACGGCCGACGTGCCCTTTTTAGCAAGTAGATTGTACTTAGGGGAGTTATTACGAAGTTAATAATACCTATTTACATTGCCTGCTACTGCTTTTGTTTTCCTGATCCATCTGATAGTTGTTGAGCTAGACATCCTTACACTTACTCCACTCGAAATCTTTGGGCTTACGTGTTGGGTCCAAGGGTTGAAGGAATAAACCTCAACAATTATATTTCTTCACAAAACAAAACAAAATTATATTGGATCGTTTACTTTTGGATTGAAAGAATCTGAATGGAAGTGGTATACCCATTTAAGTGATTAGTTGATTAGGAAGACATGTCAAATGGATGAATTGTGTCTTGTGCATTTATAAAGGAAACGAGTTCAAAATATTCAAGTATTAATGTATGTCAAAGATGTGAACATAGTATGTAATCATGATGAGAATTAAGAATAGTAAAAACTGAGGGTTGCGCAGAGGAGAGAGAAATGTGCAGAACTACAAATTAGTTGTTTTAATAGAAAAGTGACAAAGTTTTTTGGGACAACAAAAAAGAGAAAGTTGGCAAAGTCCAATAGGACGGAGGGAGTACTTGAAAATCATATCTGAGACAAGAGATATTGAGAAACTCAGTTTGTTTTGAATTTGAACGCCAAGTTGGCCAAATATTAATTCAACAGTTGCATATTTATAAATGAATCTCAGTGACATTAATTCTCATATATAACACACGCTGTTAGAACTCTCATTATCGGTCAAAATATGGATATAAGATAAGTTCACTTAGTGCAATATGCTCATTATTGTACTTTTATAAACATAATCGGCCAAATATTATGTTCTCATGAACTTGTAGCTATATAGTTGAGGACCAATGGCCCAATACTCATACATTGTCACTAGAATAGTATCAAAAATATATTATGATATCTAAATGGTAATTTTGGCGTAATCTTTACCAATACTACATACATTTGCGACTATAAATAGTTGACGACAATAATATTCTTAATGAAAATAGAAATAACGAAAGCGTCACCCAAAACAAAGTGATGTGTTTCTCAATCTTATTGATGATGGAGATCTCCTCAGCCTCACAGGTTCTCTCTAAAATGGGTATACATTTGTCATAAAAAACTCATGATATTATATTATAAATGGTGCAGCATAACAGAAGCAGATACACTTGTAGATTCCATACTCCATTGTCTATATTTGATAGTTGAGAGTGATACAACAAAAAATAGAATGTAAACAAAAAAGTCAAATCAGGTAAAAATGGGGTGCGTGTAATAATAAATGTGGCGCGCAAAGAGAGGCAATTTGATGTTTGGGACGTACAAATCGTGATATGTTGTTCAGTTTTGAAATAAAACTTGCCTTATAGTCCTGTCAAGGCGATTAATACGTAAATGGTCGTGTAAAGTGCATAAGTAGAGCTGGACTCGGGCCGGGCGGCCCGACCCGGGACCGAACCGGCCCGGTCACTGTTTGGCCCGGCCCGGCCCGTGGCCCGGTGGGTCCACCGGTTCGGTTTGGCCCGGCCCGGGTGCTGGGCGGTCCGGGCTCGGGCCCAGGTTTTGGTGAACCGGCCCGGCCGGTTCGGGCCCGGTCCGGGCCGGATTTTAATTTTTTTTTTTTTTTTTTTTGAAATTTTTTTAAGTTTTAGGTTGGATTAGGTATTTTGGGCCATTTGAGGTGGTTTGGGATGGTTTGGGGTTGAGGGGTAGGGGTAGGGGATTAAATAGGAGGACAAAAAAAAATTGGGCCGGTTCGGCCCGGCCCGGTTTGGCCCGGAACCGGAACCGGAACCGGCCACCGGCGGTTCGGGCTCGGGCCTCCCCTTTCCTGGCCCGAGGCCCGGCCGGGCCCGAACCGGCCCGAGTCCAGCCCTATGCATAAGGGTACAATTTCAGCTTTCATTCTTTTAAACGATCTCACTTATGATATCCGTATTTGTGTCTTTCTTAATTAACTATAAGTGTGCATGAACTCACGCCTACACGGCTCCACCAGGAAGTTGTGTTGGTAAAGCATTGCACTGGGATGCCAAGAAAAATGTTTGCGCATCAAACCACCATAATGCTTAGACCTAGGGGTGGACTCGAGCCGGTTCGGGCCCGGTTCGGGCCTGGGCCCGGCCGGGCCTCGGTTCATGAAAGGGGAGGCCCGGAACCGGCCCGGGTAACCCCCGGGTCCGGTTCGGGGCGGGCCGGGCCTCGGTTCAACTTAATTTTTTTTGGCTTTTCCTAATTAGCCCCCAACCCTCCCCCCTCACCCCAAAACCAGCTCAAATGGCCCAAAATACCCAACCCAACCCAAAAACTTAAAAAAAAAATTCAAAAAAAAAAAAAGAAAAAATAAATAAATTGGCCCGGAGCGGGCCCGAACCAGCCAGGCCGATTCACCTTTTCAGGGGCCCCGAGCCCGGCCCGGAACCCCAGCGGGTCGGGCCTACCCGGACCGGTCCCTGGCCGGGCCGGCGGTTCGGACCGGTTCAAACAGTGACCGGGCCAGGCCGGTTCCGGGGCGGGCCGCCCCGGCCCGAGTCCACCCCTACTTAGACCACTTCTACCACAAAAATGCCCAACTAAATGGGCACATACCAAGTCACTGATAGAAGTGATACTGTGACAAGGACTTTGACATTATGGAGTATGGACATCTCAAGAGAGAAACGGTTGTGACTTGGTTCCTTTTGAGAGAATCGATTTCTGAATCAAGTGAAGAAGCATTCGAGCTTTGGCTCTATGGCAATCAATCAAAATAATAGTAAGGTGGAGTAAGGTGCTCTTCTGTTCGTCTTATTCTTATTACTTATTACTTATTCTTATTTTATTCAGATCAGATCAGATCAGAAAAATTCAGATCAGATCAGATCAGATCAGAAAAATTCAGATCAGATCAGATCAGATCAGAAAGATTCAGATCAGATCAGAAAGATTCAGATCAGATCAGACCAGATCAGAAACATTCAGATCAGATCAGAAACATTCAGATCAGATCAGATCAGAAAAGTTCAAACATGATTTATCACTTTTATTATTATATTAATTATTATTATTATTAATATTGTTATTACTATTATGATTATTATTATATAATTATTATTAATAATATTAATAATAATATGATAAAAAAATAAGATATTAATATAGTTATAATATTTTAATATAATAATAGTAATATAAATGCAATTATTAAGAAGACTATTATTATTATTACAATATTATAATAATAATAATATGATTAATATTATTATAATATTATATTATAATTATATGTAATTATAATTATACTTACAATTATAATTCTTATAATTATAAGTATATCAATTGTAATTATTATAATTATATCTATAATTAATTATAATTATAATTGTAATTAATTATAATTATAATAATTATGATTACAATCATAATTATAATTATGATTATAATTATAATTATAATATAATATTATAATAATATAATACTAATAATAATAATAATATTATTATTATTATTATTATTATGTTATTGCAATAATAATATTAATATAAAAATATCGTTATAATAAAATTAATTGTATTTATATTACTATTATTATATTATAATATTATAATTAATGTTAATATAATTATAATTATTATTAATTATAAATATACTTATAATTATATTATAGTTATAATTTATGATTATAATTATTATTTTTAATATAATTATTATTATTATTATTATTATTGTTACTATTGTAATTATTTTACGGAGTAATTATAATAATATTGATAACTATAGTTACAATTGTAGAGATAAATATTGTAATTATAATTACAATTATAATTATATAAGTAATTATAATTAAAAATATAATTACAATTATAATTATATCTATATTTATAATTAGTGTAATATGTATAAAGTTTTTCATTTTAAATTTAATTTTAATTATTATTATTATTTTTATAGTTACGATTATAATTTTATTTAAGTTATATTTGTAATTGCAATTATAATAATTATAATTATAATTATAATCATAGAAATATTCAAATCAGATCAGATCAGAAAGATTCAGATCAGATCAGAAGGATTCAGATCAGATCAGAAACATTCAGATCAGATCAGACCAGATCAGAAACATTCAGATCAGATCAGGAAGATTCAGATCAGATCAGATCAGAAAGATTCAGATCAGATCAGATCAGATCAGAAAGATTCAGATCAGATCAGATCAGATCAGAAAAATTCAGATCAGATCAGATCAGAACTTAAAAAATTCAGATCAGAAACATTCAGATCAGGCGAAGAGAACAGCTTCTAAGTATGATTGAAATTTTTCATAATTTCCAATTGAAGTGAAGGCTCACTATCTTTTGGCTTGAGAATATGAAGGAATAAAGCAAAATGGTTCACTAAACTATATGTGTTACTTTGTTATGAAGTAGCAATCAGTCTATGCAATTTTCGAAGCAATTTTCATCATGAGTCATCCGGAAACAACCTCTCTATGCTTTACTCTCTATGTTTTAGTACATGTGTAAGGTTGCATACATCCCACCCCCTTACCCCACCTTCAATGGGAGCCCTTGCAGCACTAGGGTAATATTAGTGTTGTTGTTGGAGTATGATCAAAGCGCCAGAGGCTCAACTCTATCCAAGTATAATCAAAATGAAAGAGAAACTATATATACGCATGAAAAGGTTGGAGGTCTTACACTCTTACTCTTCAATGCAAGTGTGAAGTGAAACCATAAAGCCAGTTTGAGGTGTATTATGTTACAAGACATCTATAAAAATCAGAAGGGATTCAAAATGCAAAAAGAAACCAAGCATCCATTTTTCTTAGTAATATCAATCTCAATGTTCAACATACTACAACTATTCCTCTATAACTTCTTTCAATCAGTAAATCTCGGATGTTCAATAACAAACCGAATTGTGGTCGGCCCTAACCTGCTCAAGCATCTTAACATTCAGAAGATGACATATCCATAGATGATTTTTTCTCCATTCGGGTGCAGTCACCAACTCAACATGTCCTCCAATGTTTCCACAGAGATAATCTTGTAACAGAAATTGCAGTTTAACTGCAGAACACATGTCTAACAAGATTCCAATATTTGATGTTTTTTACCAAAACAAACCCACGAGTATATTTTTAGTATGACTCAAAAACATGACTTATATGCTCCATGTAGTGATTTCCATTATAAACAATTCCATTATAGTGATTTCCAGCTATTGTTGGATGGTAGCTTATCAAGAGTGATTTTTACCCTTCTATTCAACCTCTGGATTCTCCTGTTCACTGCCGACTAGGCTGTCTAATAGTTGCCAAACCTCCAAAACACAATGCACTTGCTCTAACTGTTGAAGTAACACTTACTAATTGATTTTCACTAAAACATGGATGAGGGTCAAAATTTTACTAGCTTATGCTCCAAATAAGAGAGTTAAGTATAGTAGGCCCTCCTGGACCAGATTTATGTAGCGTTAGTCTATGCAATAGCAATCCTAATTGGCAGCCATCCTGATGGATGAGGTTTCATCCATTTCTTGATATTTATAACCACGTGTAAGATTTTAAGAACTTCACCTACAGTTAGTTCTTTAAAACACATCTCCTTTATAACGGTAGCTGCTTCATACCTACAAGAAAACACAATAATAATGTCATAAGTGCAATTCAATAAAAACACAATGACTTTTGTGAGAAGCAAATCATTAAAAGAGAAACACATTCATGTTCCAAAATCCACCAAAACCATTTTCAAAAAAGAAATAAACATATGTGATGTGAAACCCGGTGTTATACATCCAATTACATGCCTCACGATCATCTTATTAATTCTCCGTGATTATTTTCAAATAAGTTTCTCAATCCTACAAAATGTGCATCATCATCATTCTCAACAAGACCTTATCCCAACTGTTGGGGTTGATAGCACTAACTTTATAGTGCCATTTTATAAAATAAAACCAAGTAATATTTTAATACTACAAATTCTAGCAACAACCCATAGTGGCAATGCTTTTATACCAGATGCCATTCCTATCACAGCCTTCAAAAGAAGAAATAATGAAATAAAAGTTCCAAAACTGTCATAATCATAGGTTATATCAACATGCATAGAAAATATGTTTCGTAATGGTGGAAACCCCAGGTGTGTCACGCCTAAAAAACATCCAAATTTGAAATGTGGATAATCAAACTATCACAGTGCTCGAGTATCCCTTATACCTGCTTTGGGTAGCGCTCAGAGCAGATTTTCCAGTTGAAGATGACATGAATTCATGAACTTTATCCCATATTTCTGTTGAATAATCCTCTAGATTTCCATCAAGGGGATTGACACACTTCCACAATTTACCATTCTTGCGGACATATAGTTCTAAAGATCCTAAGTTTTGCATTACTACAATTTGATTTTTAAGTGCAATCTCAAGAGCCTTCTTAACATCAATGTTGCGATAATCTGGACCTGCAGCATGAATACAATCAGTTATGTTCATTTCCGTTGGCATAAGCTTCTCCCTTTTTAGAGTGTCCAACGTATGTATCATAACATCCCCAAGGTTCTGCACATTGTTGCAAGGGTTTGTGGAAGAAGACAAATGCGGAGTATCTTTCCCAGAGAATGGGTGACTGTAAGAATCTCTATCACTGTATATTGATGATTGCTTATGCAGGCTACTAATTGCTTTCTGAGACTCGTTTAAGTTTATAAGGTCAGAAGATATAATACTTGGAACTGGTTTAACCTCTTCTACTCCTCTCCTTGGTTCAAAGAGAGGAATGGTACGAATCTTTTGTGCAGGGCGGGCGTGTGGAAGGGGTGGAAATGGATTACCTTTTGGAGGTGCTGGTGGCACGTTTGGCGTTATTGGCATTGTTGGAGAACTTTGGTATTGTTTTGGTGTATTAAGCACATTGATTGAAGAAGACACAGGGTTACTGATATTTGGAGCAGGCTGAACTCCACTCGAAGGAATAATTCCTGAATTAGGAGCAGCAGAAGATAAATCTTGAGAATCATTGAAACTTTTAGGGTACCATTGATATTGTACTGTTGCATTTGAAGTTCTTGGCATACTACTAGGTAGATAAGTATTTCTTCGGATTTGTTTGCCCATAGAATTAACATCTGAACCCTTTCCCATGTTGATGAACTTCTGATTCGAGTGGTGAGGACTTTCACGGAATGTATTCGAAGATTGATTTAAATGGGTTGAAATGCCAACTTGCACCACTAATTGCTTTAATTCAGTATTAGTAAGAGGTGGAGCTCCAGATATAAGACTTGTCCATAGCCATACACTTTTTGATGCAGCAACAAGAGCTGGCGAGGCTTTTTGAGGTTGTGCTAGAAGAATATTATATCTACGCATTCGTAACTGGTGGAGAGCATTTGAAAAATCCCGGTCGCCAGATATTAACAGATAATTTGCAGGAGGGGGATTGTCCACTGCCCAGAATAGCATATCCACAAGAATCTTCTTGTCGCTAGCATCTTTAGCACCTAATTTGTACAAAATAGTTTCTTTTAACCAACTTCTAATGCATGGAACACCATAAACTGCACATTATATGATCAAATGATGATGTCTTCAAATAAAAAATACTTCGTAGCAATTAGACCCCTATTTACATTAATTTGCTTATTATTAGCAGAGTGACTTACTTTCTTGGCAAAAAAATGATATTACAAATGCCTTTGCTTTCAGAAAAGTCAGCAGAAACAGCAAAAGTTCAGCTAAATAACCCTTAGGCCTTGTTTGGTTCAATGGAGGGGAGGGAAGAGGAGAGTCACGGAGGGAAGGGAAGGGAAGGGAAGGGGAAGGAAGGATTTTGATAAAAATTTATGTTTGGTTGGAGGAAATAGGAGGAAAGATTTAATGAAAATATTTTCCCAATTTACCTTTATTTGAAAGCTTACTTAAAAAAATAGATATATCTCTAACTATGGTGAATATTACTCCTATAGTCATGAGTCATAATATCTTTTTTTAGATTTTTTGATTTTTCACTTTTTTGCTTTTAAAATTTTTATTTTTTATTTTTTTTTAATTTATTTATCTTGTACTTTTTAAATTTGTAATTTTTTTAGTTTTTGAATTTTATATTTTTAAATTTTTTAGTTTTTAATTTTTTAATCTTTTAATTTTTAAAATTTTAAGTTTTGTAATATTTCAAAACTTTTTATTTTTACCTTTTTTATATTATAACGTTTTGTCCATTCACATAGGAAATGGATAGTTTGTGGTTGTCAACAGGTTTCCTCCTAAATACCCCGATTTGGAGGGTTTAGAATGGGAGGAAGTGGAGGATTTGGAAACCTTCCACTTTCCCCCCCTTCCCCCTATTTCCTTCACCCAAACACACACAAATCTCTCACTTCCCTCCCCTCCCCTCCGAAACCCTCCAACCAAACTAGGCCTTAAGCACTTAATAGGTAATTACAAGAAATACTCAGTGAGTCATACTTAATAAGTGTAAACACTTAACAATTCCTCAACAGCCTTGAAGAAACTCACAAGAACTATGCTGGTAAAGATAGACAGACACACTAGAGCTCACCAAACTGATAAAATTTCAGACCAACAAGTAGAAAACTTCCAAGATTATTCAGAACTTTCTAAAGCATAAAACAGGTGGATCTAGAGATTGCTAATCTCACTTAGAAGAGATCACTCCAAGCAACTGTTTATCAGAGGAGCTTGAAAGATGCCTTTAGAAAAATAACTTAGAAAAAAAGTGTTGGCTCACCGCTCATGCAATGTCATATCAATGAAATAAGAAACATCCATTATAGAGATTATATCAAAAGAAAGAGTAGAAAAGCAAGGAAAAAGCGAAACGGATGAAATATGAATTCCACTAGATTTCTACATCTGGAATCCGGCAATAGTAGCAATGTTCCGATTTTCACTCGGACACTCAATGGAACTCGTGAAGTGCCTAATACATATCGTCCGCACAGCTAACAAGCTAACTTCACCTGTATAGAAGGTGTACTCAACAACAAAGATATAATGTTGGTGATTAAACCTACCACACAAATTGATCGCAACAAATAGCTGAAATACCTAAACCTATATTGTCCGCACAATGCTACGAATTCATAATATATTATCCGAGTAGAGCGACGATCCGCTCAAAAGCCACAACTAACAACCGTATGCTAGAGAGTAGCGCATTGACACGCGCATGACCCATCTTCAGTCATATAGGGAGTGAGTTCATGTAAGAGCTGCATATGTACCTGCTGGGACATGGTTGAGGGAGATGCCGGTGCTATTCAGGGCATGTTGAAGTGATGGAGAGAGCTTGGTAGTGTCACCGTAGGCGGAAATGGAAACAGGGCCGCAGTAGTTCATCGCCACCAGAGCCGAACTAATGTTCTGCGCGATAACGTGCGGGTCGAAGTTCCTGGGGACTTGGCAGTTCTCTATGTCCCACCACACCGATATCTTCTCAGTGGAGTACAGCGGCTCGGCTGACTCCGACGGCGGAGATCCGCCTCCAGAGGCCACGCTCATCTAATCAGATGCCGGTGATGAATCAGTGGTGATCGAGTGCGCTAGAAGCAGCAGATTGAGCTCGAAACTCAAATGTCGGCCAAGCATAGCAGCGCGGTAAATAGGGGAGTGGAAATGAGGAGAAGAATTTAACCGCAGGAAAGGAAGAGGTATCGGCGCGCGAAGAAATGTGTCGTGGGGAGTGGGTCCGTGTGTGCGGTGGGCGTCTTACCGCATTCTTCGGCGTTGGCGCCCCATATCTCAAAGCTGTCATCACTCGTCCCCCGTTTGTCGTCAAGTGGGTCTTACTATTTTCAAAAATGCTTGAGGTACACACTTTGTGTACACACTTTGTGTACACTCGTCTGTCTCTTAAGAAAATTTTGTCTGTCACAGACAATTCATATATGAGTTGTCTGTGACAGACAAAATTTTCTTAAGAGACAGACGAGTGTACAAAAAGTGTGTACACAAAGTGTGTACCTCTAGCATTTCTCTACTATTTTTTCAGTCTCTACTCTATTTGTGTTTAATGATATCTATAAATAATAGGGAGTACATCTATAAACAGGGGTAATAAATATAGATAATACATTTGAAAGTTACAATTAGAAAATTATTGCCACATGTCAACTCCATAGTTATCGTTCTAAATTTAATTTCCAAATTAAAGGAAAGTAATCCTGCGTACGTATTTCATATAGGAATTACTCTAATGTTAACCTATTATTTAGGGTCCTAACAAAATAAAATCCCAAGTTTTTTTAAAGTGTTATAACTCTAAAGTGTATTTGGGTCTTACTATTTTTTCAGGGGTGGAGCTAGGTGTGACACACAACTCATCTCCAGACTACAACTTGTCCGTGTGGGACAGACAAGTGTACAAAATTTGTGTACAAATTTTGTGTACCCCAATCTTTTTTCTTAAAGATATCTATAAATAATACTCCGTAGTATAGAAAAAGTAGTAAATAGCATAGAAAAAATAATAGTACATCTATAAACAGGGGTAATAAATAATAGTACATCTATAAACATGGGTAATAAATAGTATATAAAAAGTAGGAGATAAGATGAAAAAATAAGAAAGAAATAGCATGGCAATAGGTCGGGGCAGGGCGGGTACTGTAAGACCCACCCCGCCCCATGACCTGCACGGGTCCAAACTTGTTGACCCATGACCCACCCCGCCCCGCCGTAACCTAATTAGCTAGTATGTATTTTTATTTGTAGGAAGTTGTTACCAATTGAATCTACATAAAGTTTATCTCTAAATAATAACTAAAAATTAATATATTAAATCAAATTCATGATATGCTAAAAATTTCAAAAGTTAAGGAAAAATTACTCAGACTTGAATAGTTAATCTATTAATTATATTAATAATTGAATATATGTATTAAAATGCTATACATAAAGAAGCCATTGATAATCCGTCGTTGATCTCATTCTAATATATATTAATATATTATAACATTAAACAATTTATGATTTATTGTATACACATATGTATGTTGAAGTATATTTGTATTATAACTTAAGTAAAAGTATGTATACTTATATATTGGGCGGGTCGGGTCAGAGTGGGTCAAGGCAGCACGGGTCAATACTAATACCCGGACCCGCCCCATTGTATAGGCAGGGTGAGGTGCACCCACCCCATTTGTAAGACGGGGCGGGGCGGGCCCGTCCTAAATGCCTCGGGTCAGGGCGGGTCGGGTTCTTTTGACATCCCGAGAAAGAAATGATAAGAAGTAAGGGTAATTGAGTATTTTTTAAAGATCTTTTAATACATCCCAAAATGGAAAGTGTGCGGAACTTTAGCATACGGAGGAAGTATAATTTAAAAAGTTTTAAGAACTTTAGTTGTATGTTTGGTATGTCAATTTTTAAGAGTTTTTGTAAAACTAAAAGATTGTTTTTTATATGCCAATTTTTAAGAGTTTTTATAGAAATAAAAGATCTTTTTTAATATGATTCAGTGAGTAGCATCTCAGATAAGTTTGTAGCTTCTAACATTAATTAATCTCAGTAGCTTGTATGTCAAATAGGGGTGGGTCGGAGAAACCGAAAACCGAATCGAAAAAACCCGAACCGCAACCAAAACAACCAACCGCAAGAAAATCGAAACCGAACTCAAAAAACCGAACCGAACCATAGTTGTTTGGTTTCGGTTTTGGTTTTCGCATCTCTAAACTGAACCGAACCGAACCGAAGTAACCGAACTTTTTAACACTGGTTATTTTATTTATTAATCATTAAGTATAATATTTTGTTTAGTTATTAATTCTTAATTCTTAATTCTAGAAATTAAAATTAATGTTTGATACTAGATTTATTATGATTTGCAAGATATTGACATTTAATATTTATGGTTTAATTAAGTGAAACACTTGTACACATATCTCCGGTCCCCATGCAAAGATGATTGCGTATGACCGTAAGATGAAGAGGATATCATTTCGTTGGTCCTGGGGGAGCTGTTTCCCGATCTTCAAGACTCGCTATGGCCGGGAGATGACCAAAGGAACTTCCTCGACATCTTTTACCGGCTCGGCACATGGTCTCTCCTTGTTCTTGGTGACAACCATGGTGATGGTGTCGATCCGTTGCTCTGATTTGGTGCCCATCTTTGTCAATTTAAGGTAGCAAACTCTTGCAATCCTCTGATTTCCTCTAGCGTAGCCGACGCCATCATTGGTTGGGAACTTCAGAAAGAGGTGCTTCATGGAGATGATTGCTTCAAGATCCTATAGTGCAGGCCGACCCCAGATTAGGTTGTGGGCACACTCAAGGTTGACAACCACGAACTCCATGTCAATCTTCGTGTGATGGGAGTCATCGCCAACCTCAACATAGAGGACTATTGTGCATGCGGCGTCGATACAGTCCCTGGTGAAGGTGGATAATGGCATCCGGGTCGGCTTGAGAGATGCTCGGTTCAGCTTCAGCTGTTTGAATGTGTCAAGGTACATGATGTTGACGGATGTGCTTGTGTTGATGTAAGTGCGGTGGATGGTGGCGTCGACAATTTCACACTTGATGACGAGAGCGTCCCTGTGAGTGTAATGGCTTCGATCTTATGTCTCTTCTCATGTGAGGGATGTGGGATACTTCACCGATGTACATGGACTGGGCCCATTTCTTTCTTTGGGTGGCGAAGTCCCCCTCGTTGCCCCCAGCGATGAGGTGGATATGGTGCTTCTTCGGTTGGGGTTCCTTGTATTCCTCCTCATCACTTAGGTTGCCAATCTCCCACTTTTTTACGAGGTTTCTCCTCCCTGATCGCCGGTGTTCAGCCAGGTATTTTTTCCATGGGCTCCTTTTACAAACTGGGAGAGTTCACCTAGCTTGTTGAATAAGGCATTCAATTGCCCTTGTTGTAGCGGCAGTATGTTCCAGCTTGGTGTATGCCATAGATCTCCTTCATCGAGCGTCTGTCCTTGGCTATCAAACCCTGCTCCTCAGCATAGTCCAGGATGACGCCCACCAGGTTTATGAGTAGAGTCCGAGGTGCATCCATCTTTGCCGCCATTGGCATCTCTCCCGACGTTGTCCCTCTGACCCGGAGTATGCCTGCCTTCGGGGTTTTTGCTCCCTGGCCGGTGGTGCTGTAACACCGTCCACAATTATATTTACTTTTAAGTGATTAATGTATTGAACCTCATGAAATGGTCATTGAATTTACGAAATTGTAAATTTTTATTCGCGTGAATAGTAAATCACACGTGGGACCCACACCGGGATCGGGACCACTCGATATTCCCGAAACCAAATAATTTGTTCATCTTGGTCTAGCTAATATTTATATGGTGGTGAATACTTTATTTGGGCCAAGGAAAAGGCATAGTGTTGACTCATTGGTCAAACGGGTCCAATTACCGGTATTGGTAATTTACTAGTTATCAGTCCAAATTGAATTTCGGAGACTTATAAATTAAAGTTGGGGGATATATATTCATTCTACATGCCATAATGAGTGTGAGCACATAATACATTTTATTTGACCCAAATAAAATAAAATATAATTAAAACAGTCCGAAAAATACAACTTTCGGGGTCGAATGCACATTTCGGGACACAAAGGGATGACCTCCCACATGAGTGGGGGCCACCCCATGATTTTGTCAACCAAATAAGGCTGATTGGGGGCTAAGGTGGCTGGAGCTCAATTGAAAGGTTGGGGGAGACACTTTTGACACCTAGTGGACCCCCATTTCCCTCACCCATTTATCAAGAAAGACAAAAACACTACCTTCCCCTCCCTTCCACTCATTTTGCTCGGCCAAGACACACCAAGAGAGGAAAGAAACCTCTTCAAATCACCATCCTCCATAGCTAATTCGAGCTCAAGCAAGGGTGTTCCAAGGAGGAAGATTAAAGAAGGATAAAGCTAGGAAAAGGTGTGAAAATTAAGGTAATGACTTTATCATAAATTTTCATTTATTTCTTCTTCTATCATATGAGATATATATCATGTGAAGAACCCTTAGGATTTTTCTACATGATATGAGTGTGGAATAATGGGTTGGAAAGTGGTTCTACGTCCAATAACGGACTTAGAGGCCCAAACGACCGGCCCGCCGGAAAATAACCTTTTAAAGGTTATTTGTATTAATGTGGGTTTTATGATTATAAAACCTTGTTAGGAACTTGTATAAGGTATTTCAAGAGCTTTCACGGAGTTGAAAGAGTCGCCGGAGTTTGTCAAAAGTCGCCGGAGTTTCGCCAGAGTTCAACCAAAAGGGGTAGAACTTCATAGCGTTAATTCGAGGTGAGGATGACCGACTATATTGCTTATAATTATTGGGTTAATTTCATAAGATTTCCTAAGTAGATTAAATGTATTTTTTGGGATTATTAATGATTAATAATGCCTAAAGATGAGGAGACTATTGTCTATAAAGAAAAGGAGCATAATATACCAAATTTAAGAATACATTGTGTATGATTATGTGTAATGAGTATGTTGACTTGAGAATGGAATTAACTATAATCTTTAGGTTGAAATATACTTTTTACTTCATATAAGAATATATGAGTGATTAAAAGTGATATTTGGTACGGAGTATATTAATATGAACTATATTTTCACTGGAAAATTAGTTTGGGAATTGTCCTTATGATTATGAGTTGAGAACTTGGTTGATAGAAATTATCCGACTAGTATTAAAATACTAGTCGGGGTATTGAAATGAGATTATGCTAGAATTGTTCCAAGGAAGGATTGTGAAATAGTGAACCTTAAGTAGTCTTAAGAGATGCTAAGGTGGATATGTA